TTTAATGACAAAGTTACCATCCTACCCTTATTAAAATTTGATTATATACTAACCTTTGTTGTTATTGTAATCAAAAAACCCTATTATCTAAACATCTAACCTAATTATTCCCACCAAAACCACCCTCATCTAGATCTTTCTTCCCAGTCATCCATCACACCCTCTTTTCATCTTCTCATCAATGCTCACTGTGTTCGTCCTCTCACCTACCTCCATTAATGAGGCTCTTCAAACCCTCAGGATTTCCAGATCTTTCTTCTCTCTCCTCTCTTGATTAAATATGTTTTACCACACAATCCCCCCTTTCGTCTGTCTTTTTGGTTCACCTCACTCCCTCTCATCGTTGAAACCCTAATTCATCAAGATCTGGTTTACCCAGTTTCTTCCCTGAAAAAACCATAACAACGAGTCCCCTTAATGAGAACAAACCAGATGACGACGTTATTGCCACCTACAAATGTCAGCATCGTACTGGGAAGATGAGGCTGATTGGAACGCGTAGGGCAACCTACCTGATATGCGCCGTATGTATGGTGTGGGGGCGAAGCTTGCCCCTTACCACTCTAATGAGGAAGCTGAGGGGTCTAAAGGTGCAGATCTGGGCAAAACCGGTGAGGGTTCAAAGACGAAGGGTCCTTCTGTTGATGTGGTGAAGAGTGAGGCTGTTGAACCCCTTTCAGTAGCCCCTACGCCGGAAAAAAAAATGAAGATCTTGGTAGATCTGGGCCTGCTGGAGTGGTCTGTGGCAAGAAAAGGGGTAGATCTGGGTCCCCTGTTGACGAGGCTGTTAAGGGTCCTGTGAATGACAACCCTTCTACCTAATCACGCAGCGTAACTCTTTTCTGACCTTTAATATTGTTGGATTTCTTTTGTTCAATGATGTTGATTTTATGATTTGCTTGTTGGTTCTGAAAAATAGCCCCTTTTTTCTATTCTGTGTCCATTGGGAGTAATTTGTGCATGATTTTGGTAATTTTTCTGGGTTATGTTCATGATTACTAAATTCTGGGTTGTTGTTGATAATTGTGGGTGTTGTCGTTAGTTACATTGCGTTTATGAGTCCTTTATTCTGAGTTATGGAAGTGGATAGTAGTATTATGCCTGTGTTGTTATGATAACAGTGGGTTATTTGTTTTACTGTTGGGGTGTCTTCTGAGTGTTGGGATTGTGGTGGCTACTTGTGAAATTTTCTGTGACAATTTGATTTATTGTGATTGTTTGCAATATGTTTGGTTGTGTTTGGGAGTTAGTCTGCTATCTGAGCTTCTGTTGGGTATGCTTTGCCTTGTTATTGATCATGTTGTACATAATTGGCAGTCGTTGTTGATAATTGTGGGTGTTGTTGTTAGTTACATTGCGTTTATGAGTCCTCTATTCTGAGTTATGGAAGTGGATGGTAGTATTATGCCTGTGTTGTTATGATAACAGTGTGTTATTTGTGTTGCTGTTGGAGGGTCTTCTGAGTGTTGGGATTGTGGTGGCTGTTTGGGAGTTAGTCTGCTATCTGAGCTTCTATTGGGTATGATGTGCCTTGTTATTGATCATGTTGTAGTTAATTGGCAGTCATGGCTTTGGGGTTTGTGATCTGATGAATGATGATGAATATGTTGCCTACTTTGAAGGGTTTAAAAGCTAATTCACAAACCATGTGTTCATGCATATAAGTCCCCTGCTGTTGAGTCCCTTCTGTTTTGTGCATTTACAGAACATTGTAGCCTAATTGTGTGGTCCTAACTTATCTAGGAGTCCCTTAACCTAGTGTTTTTGGCCTTTTATAAATCCAAGTGATGAAGGGACTCAGTTGAAAAAAAAATTTGCATGACTGGAATTGCTCCAACAACTTTAAGTAGAAGTTGTTGTTGAGGGAACCATCTATGCATTTTATGTGAAAACACAACAACCATCTATGCATTTCATTGTGTTGATAGTTGTGAGTTCCCTCATTGCTTGAATATTGGTCTTCCATGTTGCCTTCATCGTTGAGCATCTGGTCAATGCTGAAAAAACCATCATTGAACATGTCGCCATGCTTGACAATCTAATGACCCTGAGTTCCACAGATTCTGGGACTAGTAATGAAGTTGGTGGCTGTTTTTTTTTTTGGGGCTCTGTTGTGCTGAACCAGAACACTTCTAAGGATTGAAGATGCTGCTTCTAACTTAGGACTAATTAGGAGTAGAGTGGTAGCTTGCTTTTGTAAACAATGGTGTAATCAGAATTTCTGACTTTTGGTTTTTAATTTGTATGTGAGAATTGAATTGAGAATTATGGCAGGTTGTATGTTAAATACCCTCACTTGATTGAAAAGGTCAAGTGGAGGGAAAAATTAGCTGTTTCATTTCAATTTTGTTTTCTGTTGGCAGGGACTTTAAATAGTCTTCCTTGAATGAAAATTTCAAGTGAAGGGTAAAATGTTGGGGTTAAAAAAGAGTGAAATATTTGGAGGGAAAAAATTACATGTGAAAAGAGAGTCAACAATTTGGTGGGAAAAAAGGGGGTAAAAAAAGAGAGGGAAAATTTTTAACCCAAATATTTCCCCCCAAAATTTTTTCAGATTCTCTCTCCTAAAAAAAAAAAATCCGGGCCCCCCACTTCCCTCCTTTTTTAATACACTAATCACATGACACTATATACAATAACACTACCCTAAACACTTTTTATAAGTTTTGCTTTGGTTTCCACAAAAAGTACTAGTGTTGCAACTAATCGTTAACGTAGGGAGTATATAAATATAAATATTGAATATAAAACATAAATGTTCAACTTAATTTATTTTATAACTTATAATTTTATAACTTATAAGTTATAACTTATAAGTTATAAACTTATAAATTTATAACTTATAAAAGTTAAAATTATAGGTTATAAAATTATAACTTATAAGTTATAATTTTATAATTTATAAGTTATTAACCGTTAACAAAATATAAATAAAAAAAAATTATTTACACAAGGCCAGCCCGCCAGGCCAGCACGCAAGCCAGCACGAAGGCCGGCATGGCACGCCGGTGACCGTGGCCCGCCAGGCACGACCCGCGACAGCCCGGCACGGCACGATGCCCAGGTTTAATAAAGAAGCTAGTCCATAGAAATAGTAAGGGAGAGGAGTGAGTCACCGGCAGGAGAGGGGTTTTTGGCAGGGGTAGGTCGGTGGTCGTTGGTGGGGTTGAGGCATGGTTGCTGATGGAAAAGGGGTGGCTGTTTTTTTTTTTAAAATAATAATTATTTTTAAAATAATTTTTATTATAATTTGATTTTCATAAATGTTCAATGTTAGAGGAAAAATACACTTTAATAATGTCAACTATGGTCGATTTACTTCTAATAATCCCAACTAAGGTTTATTTTCTAATAATCCCAAATATGGGGTCAGTTGGCCTCCAATGGTTTCAATAACCGGTGACTTGCTAACAAAGTTTTTTTTTCTGTTTTTTTTAATTTTTTTTATAATCGTCACGTGTCAACACGTGAATGATCAAAAATTAAAAAAAAAAAAAAAAACAAATAAAACATAAATAAAAACCCAAAATTCCAGCCACCCTTTCCCCACCTCCTGACCTCGCCTAAAACCGGCCAACCAACCCCCCTTAACCACTGAAAATGGCCGATGGTCCTCCACCACCTATCCCCAACCCCCGAAACCACCCAGCCAGCCCTCCCCGATCCCGAAACCACCTTGAAAACCCCTGACCCCAAAACCACCTTGAAAACCCCCTTAGCCATGTTCGCCACTATCATCGGATCACCGTCGCCGACATTCTCGACCACTTACCCTCCCTTCTTTGTATCGTCACCTCCACCATTGGTGTTGATACGACTTCATCGACCTTGACGAATATCGCCACCGTCGCATTTCCGTCGCCAATTGATGTTTTCAGCTATTGGTCTGCTAATTGACGCACTCTGGTCAGGCGTTATGTTGATTTTGGGGGTAGGGAGGGGTCGGCCGGCCGTTTTAGGGGTTTATAGGGGGCTGCCGGGCGGTTTCAGGTGGGGTTAAGGGTTAGGCTAAGGGTTTGACGGCGGGGGGAAGGGGAGTGGCTGGGTTTTTTCTTTTTTTATTTATTTATTTTATTTTTAAAATTTTGGACCAATCAAATGTCGACACGTGTCATGATTATCTGTTATAACATGTCGTTGACTCGTCATTGACCGATTGGGACTGTTGGACGCAAAGTCATAGCATAGTTGAGATTATTAGATAATAAACCTGGGATTATTAAAGTGCATTTTTCCATTGTAAAAACGTATTTACCAATTTTAAAAATAATTTAAATAGTTTTTAAAAAATAAAATAAAGAGGCACTACCTTTTTTTTTTTTTTTTTTTTCTTTTTGATTATTAGCACATTCTATTTTACGTTGATAAAAAAATAGTGAAAATGAAAACACCACTTTGCCCCATTGTATCATATAGGGTACTCATGCATCCCTATTTTTTTTGCCCCTTTGTTAAAAGTTGGGTTAAATTATGAAAACTTTCACCATAAATTATCGTTATTCTACAATAGGTAATATAGTCATATGGATCATTTTTGATTCGTCTCATTGTATATTTTATTACTATCAACTTTTTATAATTTTTTCGTGTATGAAAATGGAAATATAGACTTTTTAACATGTGTCTTGGAGACTGTGAAAAGTCAAATGGAGCCAAAAAAAAAAAAAAAGGTAATGGGAGTAATAAATAGCAAGCATGTCCTTTCCAATTTGCATCCTGAAATGCCTTAGAGCAAACAGAAACAAGATTATTGTGCTACACTTTAACAAACATTTTATATCCCTTTGCCTTCATTGGAGATATACAAGATACAACAGGGCTGCTCGGTTTATCTTGCACTCTGATTCTCCTGAACAGCTTGGTGACAGAATCCTACAATATGCAAAAATTGAACTACTCCGACTACAAACTGCAAAGCGGCAGGTTGCTCCACAAAGTTGATTACCAATACAAGGAGTGAGGGGAATAATGGGGAGTACTAATTTTGAGCTAGGAGTAGATTGGACATCAAACAACTGCATTAATAAAACAGTTATGTTCAGTACAACTTACACGATGACTGTCCTCAGAAGTCACTCGAAAACCTGGTGTACACTCGTCATAGATTGGATTCTTTTTTTTTACAATTCTGTTTTTGGTCCCGTTACCAGAGCACTCTAATCATTACAGCACCCAGGTTTACATGAATAGCCTATGAAGAAGGGAAACTTTTAACAGATTGCCATCCAACTTTATGTCAGCTATTAAGAATAATACAAAACTAACTTTTAGTATATACATGCTTAGGAGGCAGCTGTTGCATTCCTTCCCATTTCCCGTTGCCTGGCACGCTCCATCTTTCGCTTCCGCCATTCTTCCAAAGCTATTGAACATAAAGTACATCAGTGTTGCCAAAATAGAACACAAAACAGGTGGCAATGCTCACACAAATTTCTGAAGCAACAACTAGATACATGTACGATGGCTTTGTTATATGCAATCATAAAATGCCAACGGCAAAACTTCAGTAGCCATAAGCCTAAACATATGAATTGAGTCAAAATCCCACGGAAGAAAGTTGTAATAGATGTTGCCAAAATAGAACACAAAACAGATGATAATGCTCACACAAATTTCTGAAGCAACAACTAGATACATGTACGATGGCTTTGTTACATGCAAGCATAAAATGACAGCGGCAAAACTTCAGTAGCCATAAGCCTAAACATATGAATTGAGTCAAATCACAAGGAAGATAATTGTAATAGATGATTATTCCATATAAGCTGAACAGTTTAATTGAAAATATTTTACTAATTTGGTAGATTCATCAAACAGAATTTTCATATACTTGCAAAGGTTGAAGCTACAAAAGTGAATAGAAAACAGTAAGTCCTCATACACTGCCTAAGGTAGAAGCTTATACAAGGCACTAGGGTTACCGGGTATAGCATGGGATGGCTAGTTGCAGAAAGGTAAATAGTTGATTTAAAACCAGCTGTTCCAGCTTCCAGCTATTGTACATATGCAATGGTAGCAACTGTTGCACTTATTGCAGTATCTTCTTTTTTTAAATATGCTTCATGTATTTCAACAATGGGGTACCATGTACGGCAAGTGTATAGGAAAAAAAAAAGCCTTTGAAGTTGCAGATCAGACACAAATGGTTTGAGACTTATAATGGAAATAGCAGAAATGCGATTAGTAGCATACAAGTTCTCGGCCTTATGCAGACTCAAAGAGTCAGTAGAGATAGACACAAGAAGGTTCCAAAAGGAGCATAAATTTGCTACATTTTTTATACACTGAATCTTAGCTTTTACTTCAATTTTATCAATCTTTTATGAACAACTCAATTCCATACCGAACTACAATATTTCCCCCTTTGAAATTATTAATCTCTTCACTTGATTAGAATTTGTACCAATTTTATTTGGTAAAATATCATCTTTCACTTGATTTTCATTACTTGGGACTATTATTAAAGTTCTTGTATTGGTCCCCTCCCCTCCAAAATATAGGAATGCCAAGGATGAATGTATGATTATTGTGGATGAATTTGGACTCTGCTATAGTAGCCCAACCATAAAAAAATAATGAGACAAACTAAACTTAATGCAGCTATCCAAATGACTCTTGGAAGTTATAACCCAAAATTCAGACAATCTTGGACCCTATCTGGGTTATAAGCTTATAACATTGATAGAAGTTAATGGTCGGAATCTAAGATTACTCATGGTCTAATCGATGTTGTACATATGAAAGTTTCCTCCTGGAAATACTTGACTTTGTACCCGTTTGGAAGATTGCTTCTAGCAAATAAAATTCTAACACCTTTGAAAAAATGTGCTCTCTGTTTCCGGTGCTTCAGGCTATCAAGATAAGTATTAGTTCTATCATCTGTAACTTTTGGTCGACTAGTTCTGGTTATGCTTATCCTTTCCATTGGAGAAGGAAATTTTAGAAACTTCTAAAGACTTGGAGGGCTGGGGTTACTCAATATCAATTTATTTAGTAAAACTCTCTTAGCAAAAACAAGCATTTTGGATTCATAAAAGAAACTGTCTACGTATAACCAGAGCATCATATACTCCCTTTGTCTCACACTCCCGTGTTAGTGTGAGCACTTCTTTTTTTCATATGTCATACAATAGTTTGAGCACTTCTTTTTCCGGCAAAGGTCCATCACTATTTTGTATTTTTTCATACTTGTTCTTATGGACCCAATATCTTTTTTTCACATCTATGTTTCAATTAACATAGCAATAGATTATCCAAATACAGCTTATCTCCTACAACTATGCGCACTCATCAGTTTTTAAGAATAATGTGGGACAAAGGAAGTATATCCTCTCCAGTTGAGCACAGTTTTCACAACTCTTATCCTCCTAGAACCTCATGGAGATTCAAGGTGAGTGTAAGAGCATAAGAAAGCGCAGGAATCGGGTTAACAAGCGAATTGAGAGGTGCATCAATTGATATCCAGAGGACAGGTGGGTTGTAGGTTTTGGCTTAAAGTTTAAGAGCCAAGATGACAGTTAATGGATGCACTTGCAAGAGGTCAGTGATCGAATGATTTCTGGACAGAGGAAATGAAACTCTGCTCTCATACGAAATACTTTCCACAGAGAATTAGAGACTCAACCAGGCCATTCTTTTGCTTTCTGGCTTCATATCCCTACTAATGGAGGGATTGTGAGTATCTCACTGTTAAGTCAGCTTATGTTCATTAAAAGGAGAGTCATAGTCCAGAGTTCAAGAAGAATTAAAACAGGGTCTTCGTCATGCTTGGGAACACTTCTGATACTTAAAGATTTAACCCAAGAAAAAATTATATGTATGGAGACTTGTGTATAGAGCACTTGGCCACCATCAGTTATTGTAGACTGAGGACGAAGATCACTTATTCAAGGACAACTCAATTATTAAGTATATTTAAAGAGATTCTACTAGGTATCAATATCACTAAGAACGATACTACTCTAATTGGAAATTAGATTTGTGATTTTATCACATTCTTCGTATTGCAGGAAGGATGATGCTAATATCTTGTGAGCTACAGAATACCAAATCACCGAGAGATATTGTCTTCAAATTTGGATCTGTTAACAGTCTTAACGCCGAGAATGTAATGGCACTTATTGATCATATTCGGGAAGAAAGCCGGAGGGTACTGGAACATAAAAAGCAGATGCAACGGTCTTGCTCTATAGTAAGGTATCTTAATCAATCAAGTTTCTGCTAGCTGGGAAACCAGTAGCTAATGCAGTACTCTTTGTTGTGGATAGCCCATGGACAAAATTATAAGGGAATATTTGGCAGGCATTGGATGGTACTGGTAGTAAATCGATAGCAATTTGCGAAAGGAGAGAGTGTTCTAGTAGTTAATGCCTTAAAAGCAGAGGGAAACGTCAGCTGGAAGTGAAGAGAAGAGAGCTGGAGAAGGTGGACATTCGATCTGACTGCAAGGCATTATGAATTTCTTGGAAGAATAAAGTTGCTGGTCCGATGGAAGTTTCAAGTCTAAGAATATCAATTCATGCACTACACTTTTTGTTTACTGTTGTATCAGTCATGTTAGTAGGAGCTCGTCATCTAGCTTTTCTATCAGGAAATTAAGGTTTGTCTGATCTCATTGTTGTTTATTGCTGTCAAAGATGAAAATACAAATCAACTGTTCTATGGTCACAATGGCTCAATTTTTCCTGGTCCATCTAAGAAACTGCAACATATCTTGGTCTGTTTAACATATGTCAGCTTACGGGATAGTTAGGTCTTAAACAAGTATAGTAAAGGAATATATAGGTTGTAGTTCATGAACATCGCAAAATATTTAACTGCCATTTAACAAGCATTGAGATGACCCTCACATCAGAAAGGTGAAAGCCACACTGAATGAACACATCATCTATTTAGGGAAAAAAAGTTTGTGTGAATGGGGTCAGGAATTAGCTGACCATTTACCTACCTTTTATGCTTGCTGCATCAGTAAAAGTGCGGGCATTTAACCTCTTCGACAGATCAACTGCAGCAGTCTGCTTCGTCTCCGTATGTTGAACCGTCTCTGGTTCTGCATATGATTCTCGCTCAATTTCCCTGACCTAAATGCAAGAGAAGATCATAAGTGAGTATTTTTAAGAATGAGAGATGACAAATCGACACTCATATAAGAAATTCAGGGAAGGTACTCAGGTAACATCACACTGCTTTCTCAAACAGATAACATCTCATTTCTACAGTTGTTTCCCTACAGCATAAGTCCCTAGATTCATATCAAAATGACAATAGCACAATGAGGAATCAGTGACAGGACACTTGAGCATAGAAATCATATACTTCCTCGGATTCCCGAGGATAGCATAATTCTATACACTTCCTTGGTTCTTTTTTACTTGACCTATTTGCCTGTTTCATTTATCACGTATGTCAAAGGAGAGGAAGTGAATAGTGTAAAAGTCAAAGCGTGTCAAGTAAAAAAGAACTGAGGAAGTGCTCCGTATATGATTAACCTTTGCTAGCTGCCCCAATTCCTATCTGATGACAACAAAGAAGCATTTGATCCCGGCCTTGACAAACACAAGTACACAATTTTAAAACCTCAAAAAATGAACAAACCCATAGAACATACTCTTCGGATCAGCTCCAATGGTTGCATAGCTCTCCGAAGTTCATCAGATTCTTTAACATACCTAAGCTGAACTGTAATACAAAGATAACAAATCCTGAGTTCTAAGACTGCTATATCACAGAAAATAATGAGCAGTACGACTAAAACCAGATAAAATTAAAGGAGAAAAGTACCATTTCCTAACAACTTTTTTCAACAAAACCCAGGTCACAAACCAATTAAAGAACAGTTCAGATGATTTGCAATCTCAATTGAATAATACAAAGTAAATTAAGACATAAATTTGCCGAAAATATAGAATCCTGCTCACTTTAACATTCATAGCTACAACAGTATAAATCAACTTTCTATATATGAAGAAATCAACCATTACAATCAATTCTAATTTGAGGGTATGTCACCGGCTAATTCAAAACCCACTAGACTCCGATTAATCTGGATTCGAACTGGGTCATGACCCAATTGTATAGTGTACATATATGAAGAATGGATCTTTGGTATGTTGCAAAATAAACCAAAAAATCACTTAGTACAAATAAAAACCTGAATTGGAGTGATCTGGAGGAAATCTGCGAGAAGAGTAGGGAGAGAAGAAGCCCTGAAGCAAGAAAAGGGCAGTAACCAAATTAAACAAACAAACGACAATTGTTGCATTTTTGAATGAAAATCTCAATTTCCATGACTGTTGTTGGTTCTCCATTTCTTTGCTTTCAGCTTAATTGATTTTTTGGGTATAAAAGTATAAAGAAGAAGGTAAAATACTACTGTAGAATGGAAGAATAGAGAAAAGGGAGTTGTTTGTCCCACATCGGAAGAAGAGAAAGAGTAGGGTGGTTTGGAGTTGTATAAGTAGAAGTTTTGAAGGAATTATAAAACTGCCTTAAACTAATGAGTAAGGAAAACAAAGCGGGCGGTGAGAACCGACCGCAGCGTCTATCAATAAGAATTGGTGCGCAATAATTTTTCGAGGGGTGAAAGGCTGGCCAAGTTGAGACGCTGCTTACTTTTGCAGAACTCACTTGTGCAGGCCTCCCAAGCCCACCTAATTCTAGTTTTTAAATTTTGCTTAATTTTCGAATTACTTGTGCTCGTGTGATGTGCATAATATTAATTTAAGATAATATATAAAATTAGGAATAATATATGTAGTATTATAATTTTGAAAAAAAAAAAAATGGGGGTGTTTGAAAAAAAAAAGATGGGGGAGTTTTAGAGGGAAAAAACACCACCAGAAAGTGACGTTTTATTTCTAATGTTTGTTTTAGTATTATGATATCGATTTTGTCAATTAGAAGTATTATAAAAAGACAATTCTCATTAAAATAGATTTTGTGATTAGTATAAAAAGTGTTAATTAAATTAGGATTTGTGTGATGATATCACATCCATTTCAAATTCCCAATACTTTAAACTGATTAGCACTTGAATACATTCTAAAACAGATATTTTAGATGAAAAATATGAAGGGTATTAGCTTTCACTCTCAGACACATTTATCCAAATTTTGGGTATTAATGGCTATGAGGTAATATGCCTAAAGTTCCTTAGTCCATTTGGGTATGGAAATAGATATAACACTCCACATCATTTCTTCATTTCTTGGTTGGTGTCTTTGGATGAACTGAAGACAAAAAAAAAACTAGCATATTTGAGATTTGCGCTTCTTGTGTGGGTCTCAAGTCATCTACCAACACAAACATAAGAGAAGAGAGAGAAAGAATACTCACCCTAAAAGCGTACTTCGCTCAACCGATGAGCTCGGACTTGAAAGCTTCAAGTTCCGCAAGTGCGAGAACCTCCGACAGCTCACACCCTCGCTATCGAACCGTAACCGATCCCTACCCCGTTGCTTAGACGAGGCTAGACCAAAATTAACTAAGAGTTTACGAACTAAGGTTTACTCGCTTTTGGAGATCCCTTAGAGTTCACCAACTCAAGTGAAATTCCCAATACCCAATAATGAGTATTTATAGGGAAATGTCCCCAAAATTTTCCCTCATTTTTCAATGTGGGATAGTTGGTAAAAATGTCAAAAGAAAAAATTAATTTAATTCTAAATTAAATTAAAATAGCAAGGTAATCATCAAACGACAAGTGGCATAAGGTGAACAAGGGTTAGGTGAGGACCACAAGGACAACCCACATGGCCTCCTTGTTCCCCAAGCCACCAAACCCACCAATCACAATAAAGCAAGACCGGTCAATGTCCTTGGACAACAAGGAATGGCCGATCAAGGCCTTTGTGGCTTCGGCTAGGCCAGCCTGCACGCACCGCAAGCCCACCGCTAGCTATCTGGGCTACTATGCGCTACTGGCTAGCTTACCACAAGCCCAACGGCCTTGCCCCCAAGCACCAACAAGCCTCGCTAGCTAGCGGACTGCTACATGCTGCTAGCAGGCCATGCGGGCGCGAGCTTGTGATGGCATTAGGCTATCTAGCACGCTACGCCTTGCATGGCTGCTGGTGGCCTAGTGGTAGCGCCACGCACTCGGCCAACAATCCTAGCTTGTGCGTACGCGCACCAAGCTCGACTTGCTCCCAGTGCTGGCCTTGCGACATGAACCTCGGCTAGCCATGCCAGCTTACCTAGCCCTCGTATGGCTTGACCATTGCGAGGCTAAGATTTTCGTGCACATTGACTTATCGTTTGACTAATTTTTCCGTCTAGTCGAAACCTAAATTCGACTCGACTTTCGACGCTCGGCTTCAACGCTCTAAGCTCAGAATCCGACATCTTAGTTCGTAAAATCTCTATCTACTCATTTAATCCTTCGGATTAATTCGTCGCTTCGGTTCGGTTACACGATTGGGTGTGTCCCGAAGGGTTCAGTCAAGATTAAGCTGTAATATTAATTATACATTAATATTACTGATCGGAAGCGGCCTCCAACTAGGCATTTCGATCACTTAACCTCACTGAATAATTAGCTTTCCTAATTGATTAGGGGATTTTGCTCCCACCAATCGGAATGCGCCACGTGGGCCAATCAGGTCCTGCCAAGTGTCCCCCAGTTGGACCTCTCAGGGCTTGCCACGTGGCACACGCGTATTCGTCAACCCTGGACTTATTATGTCATGACACGTGGCATACTCCATGCCTAATGGAGAAGCCGGTCACCTAGGCCCAACTTCCGAGGGAAGCCCAATCAGCCCAAGGTTAACCTAAACCTAGATTGGCACGTTTCCCGAGGTTATAAATACCTCCCTTAATCCTCATTAAGGGAGATTACGCAGATTACACACATTAAACACTCTCACCTAGAGAGACCCAATCACTTTAATTTCCGCATTAATTACTCCTTAATCAAGTACTAACTTGATCGTTGGAGGCGGATCTCCAATCATCCGGAGCATCCGTTTATTTTGCAGGTACAGGCGTCCGGTTCCAGTCTCGGAATTGTAACTCTCCCGCAGGACATCAGAAAACCCCGAAACATTTTGGCGCCGTCTGTGGGGAGAGTACTTCTGAGATGACACCCACGTTTGTACCGGCTCCTGAAGAGAGACGTCCCCTGGACGATCCTCTAGTTCAGTCGGACCACGATACTAAGAATGAATTTGAAGTTGAAGCTCACACAGCTTCAGACGGGACCCTAAGGGCCCGACGTACCCGTCATACCGAAAGGAGGGAACGGGAACATCTTCAAACTGGAAGCGAGCCAGCAGGCGCACCGCCTGTTCGGCAGCAGCCGACTGATGGGTCTGCTCCCATCACAAGGAACGAACTCATGACCTTCATGAGAGACTTCAAGGGAGAAATTCAAGAGTTGATCAACAAGAAGCCGCCTGCTCTGGACAAGGAGCAGTCGGCTAAGAAACCCTCCACTTCACAGAAGAGGAAGCCAGTTCAAGGGCGAGAGGCGACCCCTCATCCTAAATCTAGGAAGTGGGAGCCACCTGCCCTTGATTTCACAAATACCGTTTTCCTACTCCAGGAAATAGGAAACCTGTTCGTCATATTCAGGCGGACGGGTCGAGGAAAACATACACAGACGCTCGGCTACTGCTAGAGCAGAAGAAGAGTGACCGATTGTCATAGTCGACCTCTACTTCAAACTTCCAAGACAGTCTGCGAAATACCTCGATGAGGCATACTCAGTCGTATCATGAGGGTCAGTCAGGCGGCACCTCCCGTCAGTCCGGCTTTCATAGCGACCAGGCGGTACCAAACTTACCGTTTGTACCGCAACAACAGTATTTTTTACAGCCACCTCCGTTTGGTGGACATGCAACAAAAAATGTCCAACCTATGGACTGGCAGCTACGGTTGCTTAGACTTGGTGAATAGTCGTCGACCTTCTCCAAGGAAATTACTGAAGCCGCTCAGCCGGCCAAAGTGAAAAATGTATTAGTAGGCGCCTATGACGGAACTACTAACCCAGAAGACCATCTGATGGCATTCACCAACCTGATGTACCTTCAAGGGTTGGATGATCCCACTTGGTGCAAGTGTTTCCCAGCGAATCTCAAAGGAATCGCACAACAATGGTTCGGCAACCTGCCGACTGGTTGTGTAAATAACTTCAAGACGCTTGCTTACTTATTCACCTCCAACTTCGCCGTGAACATCCCTGCGAAGAAGACGACCCTTGATTTAGGAACAATTCAGCAGGGCGAGAAGGAGGGGCTTCGTTCTTACATCAGGCAATTTAACCTGATGAGAATACAGATTCAAGGGTTACCGGATGAAGTAGCCTATACTGACTTTTTCAGAGGTCTCAAAGACGGGTCGACCTTCAAATTTGATTTGGTCCGAAAGAGGGTGGCGACTCTTCAAGAGGCCTTGATTGAAGCGGAAGCCTATATACAGGCGACTGATCTTTGTAGTACGGTAAAACAGTCAGACGGGAAAAGGTCCGACAAAAGAGAAGGACGACAGAAGCAGTCGTCAAACAAAGACGAGAAGAGAAAAGAGGTCTGGGCAACTGATTCCTCTAAACAGCCGTCCCAGAAGAAGAAAAAAGAATTCAAACCATACTCCCCAAAGTATGTGTTTAACAAGGATAGCCAATTTATCCTAAAGGAAATCAAGGGACGGATCTCAATTGAGAAGCCAGTCCCCATGAAGGGTTCTGCAAACAATCGGAACCAAGAAAAATTCTGTGATTATCATGAAGATGTTGGTCATCACACCAATGAATGCATCAGTCTCATGCGGTATCTGGACCGCCTGGCTGAGCAAGGTGACCTTGACAATTATGTCAAGAAATCTACGGGGAACACTTCCTCGAAAAAGCAGTCGACCAAAAAGAATCAACAGGCCGACAGCTCCGATACAGATGATGCAGTCGTCTACACCATTGCAGGCGGCTTCAATCGGATGGAGTAGATTATTTCCTTGTTAAAAAAAGAAAAACCCCTCCCCAAACCGTGCTTGCATTTTTCATTGCACACGACTTTCCCTATGTATAAATTTCAAACTTAGTTCCCCTCCTAGGGGACTCAAACAAATTTGAATACTCAATGAATTCAACCCTTACTCCATAAACATTTCAGTAGAAAAATGAATTTTTTTATCTTATCCCCTATTCGTTTAGATAGAATTTCAATTTCATTTAGACAGTCTCATAATCAATCATTCATCGTTGGACAAATTATGGATACAAATAATATCCAAATACCAAATGCGCCCTCTATAGAATCCCCGTGAGATAGAAGAATCCCTTGGTAAGATCAAAGAAAGAACTTTTTCGTCCTCTGTAAAGAATTCTTCTAAAAATTCTGAACCTAATCTTTTTAAAAAAGCACGTACAGTACTTTTGTGTTTACGAGACAAAGTTCTAGCACAAGAAAATCGAAGTATATACTTTATTCGATACAAACATTTTTTTCGTATCTGTTTTTCAGCCGTTCAAAGTCCTTATCGTATTATATAAATAAAGTAACTAACTATCGGTTCACCTATTCGATTTCGTTATCGGTATCGCTTCGACGTTCCGTGTCTGTTTACTACTTCCTTTTCCGTTTCAGTACGGCCCGGTTACCTGTATTCTATGAGACTTTTCCGAATGCGCTTACTTTGGTCTTCCACAACACA